TCATCATCCTTCCAGACTTTTTTTTTAATTGGGAAGGGGCCCTGCAACTGGCTTTTAGAATACTCTGAGCAGCAAGCTACTTTGAGAAAGGAGAAATTATGCTTTCTGTAGAACCAATTTGATATGGTTGGTGAGAAGCAGGGTAAGACCAGATGCCCTTTTAGTAGTTTTGAATACTTTAGGGACAATATATAAGTGGATCCAGCTCAAAGCTCTTGTTGTCTCAGGTATGAGAATAGCAATATTCATTAATGAATTTTTATTGCTAGGCATGAATAAATTACTAGATATCTGGTGCCTGCAGACAGGCAAAGGAAAAGCTGTATGGGAAAGCTTGGATTTTTGACAGGTTCTTCATCTCTAAAAAAAAAAATCCCTATTTGTTTGAGGTGTAGGTTCTTACATCCTTCGTAGTTCAAATGCAGTCATACCCTGGATCAATGCAATCTTGTCTCAAGCAGAGAGCTGTGATAAATCTGTTCAAATCTCATTCCCTCAGATGGCTCTGTGCCAACAAAGGTGATAATGAATATTTAGGTATGAACTCAATTGTTTTTGTTTTTTTTCTGGCAACAAACTGTGTAGAGGTTCAAGTGGAGCATTTTACTGATTTACTTTAATATCACTCTAAGACAGTTGTGCTTGCATAGAAGCATTACATGTATTTAGGGTTAGATCTATTTCTATATGAAGCAGGGACAGCCATAAAAACAATGGTATTAAAACAGAATTGACATTTCTTATACTGTAACCAACTGAATAGATCTTCCTCTTTTCCCCAAGTATCTCTGTTCAGGTTTCTCTGGACTCATTCAGTTCACCCATTCAAGTGGTTTCTAAGGTTGCTGCTGACAAGGTTAATGTATGGTTCAGTGTTGCAGTGTTGATCCCTGAATCATGCTGCAGCATTAACTGTTGTCATAGAGACACAGATTTTTGAGTCCAAAGGGACAATTTTGATAGTCAGCTCAGACCTGTTGTAAAACACATAGTAGCTTGCCAATAAGTAAATAACTTTGCCAAATTAGAGCACAGCTGGGCTCTCCCTCTCCTGTGACAGTGAAACACATTTTGCTGAAGTTTGTGAGATGCTGTAAAACACCAAATGGGGATTTAATTTATTGTAAGAGTGATGCTGTCAACACACATTTTTTTCTGATGAGTGAAAGCCAGGTGCAAGCTTACTCCACAAGATACTGCTGTTACTGTGATACTGACAACCTCAGAGGGACAAAGAGTATTAAAACAATAACAGTATTCTGTCTTACCCTCTAGGTAGTGCAGTGAGGTTAGCACTTGTACTTGTAAAGAAGGATGCTAGAGTGAGGCAGCTGTACGCAGTCAGAAGTCTTTGACAGACCATCTCTGGGATATTATTGTAGCATTTTGATGATACTGACCCTGGTTGTTTGCCTCTTCCTTCTGCTTGCTCCTTTATCAGCTGTGTGTCGGCACTGATGCCAGACCAGAGCCTGTCGTGGCTGCTGCCAGGAACAGTGGACTTGTGCCAAGGCACTGGGTTCTGAGCTGCCATAGCAGTTGAAGCTCTTGCCAAAGGCTACCTGATACAGCAGAACTAACAGCTGGGGGATTTAACATCTTAAATTGCCAAGCTGACATCCATCAGAGATCATGTGAGAGTGCCAAGTGTCTGTGTAACCTCCAGCCAAGTATTAAGTCTCCTCTTTCCCAGTATATGCTAATCTGTGAGAAATGGATTGTTACAGATCCCAGCTCCACTGATGAAGCAGTTTCAGTTATAAAATGCCTTGCCTCTGTACACAGAAGTTTGCAGTGGCCATCACAGTATTAGACACTGGAACAGGTGTAAGATGTCTGATATGGTCTCCCCATCTTCCAGTGCAGAATGTGGAATAAGGTGAACTGGTTGGGTAAAACTGTGGAAAATGTGTATGAAGGAACATGTGCAGCCAAAATGCTCCCCTCCTAAATGTATACATTTCTCGCATTATCAGCCATGCATACATAGCTTTAGGAAAGCTGGAAATGCAATTTTTTAATGAAAATAATCTGCTGGCTCAATATAGGCATGCATTATCCATGCCTTTGCTGCACTGCTGGAGAGGTTTGATAATAGTACAGCGTTTGGTTCCTTGTGCTCTTTTCCATTCCTGTGTCACACAGCTGTTTTGCTGCTATTTGCAATGCCTGAAATTACTCACTGTTAAGTATTATTAAGGAACAATTCTTATCAATTTAGGTTTTCAGGGACTGTCTGGGTAATTACCACAGCATCCCTACAAGGTGAAATGACTCAGTGCCTTTCTTCTCACAAGTAGTGCAGTGTTCATCTATTCTTTGATAAATTAATCTGTGGGACTTCCAGGTTCCTCTGGAATGTAATCCTCCTGTGGCAGGAGTAAGTCACCTTTAAAAACTCATGGAAACCCAAAAGAGAGTCAGGCTGTGTGTGCTTCAGTATTGGTGCTCTGTGGCAGTGCTGCACAGCTGCACAGCTGTTGTGGATGCATTGGGGAGCATTCAGATTTTGGAGGGGAAAATATGTCTCCAGATTGCTTGTTTTAGAAATGGGGAAGCACCCTGGGACTCTCTGAGAAGCCACTTGCCTGCCAGCCTTTGTGAATGAAGGAAATTCTGTAGCTCTCACAGAGAAAGTACTGCTCTGGAAGCTGGTGCCACATGAATTAAGCCACAAAACTGTGCACAGTATAAAACTGAACAAGCCCACTTTCCAGTGCTTTGAAAATGGTTAGACAGTGCACAGTATCTGTCTAGTGGTGAGAAATGCTGCTTGCTATTGTAGACTTGCTTAGTGATTTAGAGACTTGCTTAGTGACCAGAGCACCTCCTTCCCTGGGCACTTTACTTAAGGAATAGTTCTGTCCTGGGGTTTAATTGAATACCCATCTGTCCCAAAATTGCAGTGGATAAGCCTTTCTATCAAACATATTTTTTTTTTTACATCAACAAAATAAAAATTAACAGTTTCATTTTCAACCTAGCTCTGTGAACATTTCTATAGTGTCATGATAGAAACAGAAACTCAATAGCTGAAGGGTGATGCAGGAGCTGGAAGGAGAGCTTGAGGGTGGGAGTCTTATAAACTGGTTCTGTCATGGAAGCAAATGGCACATGTCTAAGACACATGGCATGAGCAGAGAAGCCTTGGTCATGGCTATCACATCTTTATTCACCTATTCTGTCCCCTCATTACTCTCAAGGGAATAAGCGGGTACTACTGAGTGCAGATCTGGGCAATTGGCTTATTTGTACTCAAATGCCTAAGAAAGAAGCAGGCAGCTTGGCCTTCAAAACTCTATTCTTCCAAATGTGATGTCCTGCTTTAGGGCACCCTAGGGCATATGATCAATAATTTTCAAGAATTTTAGACATGTAGAGAAGAATTGTGGTGCATTAGAAGGTATGTTTTAGGTGGACAATTGTCAAAGACACCAACGCCCCTGATATATCTACTACTTGTGGGTTTCCAGTAGAAGGTAAGCACATCTGTGCTTCTTGAAAATCATTCACTTGTTAGTAGAACTGACCTAAATACTCATGAGAAGAAATTGACTCTCCCATTTTCACCTGTTGCAAATTGTGATCAGCTCAACAAGTCCTAACATATCAACATATGTATCTCTGGAGACATGAATTATTTATACAAGTGTTCAAATGGTCTGAAAAGAAATTTTCTTTTGGGCATGTGTGACTGGCCACATGCATGATATGGTATTCTGTCATCCCTGGTTGTGTTAGCATTTTAATTGCTTATTCCATCTGATGCTAATTTTGATTCTTGAAGAGGTCTCAGAGGTAGTACTAAATCCATTCTCACCAAACATTTATCCCTACAAAGCTTCATTTATGTGAAAGCTTGTGAAAAGAGAGGTATAAATCAGTAAAGTGTTAGTCTGATTTCATTATTTGGGCTGATATATGCTAGCTGATAAATGCTTACCTACTTTCATCATCTTCAGTCATGACTGAGCTGGGGACTTCAACTACCTCCCAACAAATAAACTAGGTATGCATTCAATATGAAGGAACTTCACTATCGTCACCCATTTTGGTTGCTGTGGTATGTTTCCTCTGCTAGTCAGGTGGAAAAGTGACTGAAGAGAAGTGTTATGCACTATATTTTGAAAATCAAGATTTGACTCATTCTCTAAAGCTTCCATTACATGCCTTAATAAGTTTAAGCCAGAAGATGAGCCAAGCAGCAGCAAGCAAGAAAACTGTTTTGTACCAAAATAGGCAGGAAAATACAAAGCCCAAGGATGGGAAGACAGCCATACATCTTAACAAGCAACTTCTTAGGTCCTGTGAATTGGTGGATCGTGACACACTGAGTTTTGAACTAGCAGAAATTGACTGGGGAGATTAGTAGCATGATGGGAAACACTGGAAAGGGAAGCTACATGGCCAGCATAATAAAGATTCTTATCCAAAACCTTCACAGGCACTTCTCTAAAAGCCACCATCATAAAATAAAGAGATGATAACAAAAATTTGTTAATGCATTTTGTACTCCTATGTTCATGGAAGACAATGATAAAGCTCTCATTAATCTTGATGCTGAAGGATCAAGTTATTTCCTTTTATAACCTCCAAAAAATTTGGTAACAGCAATTGATCAGTCCTGCCACCACCACATGGGACAGATACCAATCTTGATTTTAGAGATGAATGTGCTAAGGTGAAGTAATTAATCCAGGTTCAGCAGTGCTTAGGCACTGACACTGCTTGATTGCAGTCCCCTGAGCTAATCTTCAAAATATACCCTCCTCCCTTCCTTGACAAGAGATTTTGAAAGACATCTTACAGGCTTGGATCAACCAGTATTGTGACTGAAACACATTTTGGCTTGTGTATTACAGAAATACATTTAGTATGTTCAGTGTGCAAGTTCACTGAACCCATAGTATTTGAACAACTTGCTCCAGTTTTGCCTAACCTGTGAATGTGGTTCAATTCTCAGCTGTCATTTGGTCAACCCTTTCCCTCCAGTAACTTACAACTTTCAATTTCTAGTGTGCAGTTTTGTTCATCCAGAGGATATCTGCGTAGATCCATCATGCAAGCTGCTGTTGTTGTGATCCTGTAAGAGGAAGGTGAAAAAAACCCAATGAGACTTGAAAACACAGTTTACCTGTTTGAGATGGCAAGATTTTCTTTAATGGGTTTTCTGTTTGTTTAAATACAGAATGGTATGCACTTGGATTCCTGGTATGCAGTCTTTATAGAGCTTGTAAAGCATGATTAATTAATGCAGCACAGTATACTGATTACAGCATAAAGCATAAAACTATATGTTGAATATTGTACAGAAGGATTTTGACTCAAAAGTTTATGTATAAAAGTGTTTTGAAGAACATTCAGAGATTTCTACTTGGACATATTTTTTTAAATGTTCTTAAATGAGATATCTTCTAATTGTTCAGCAACTTGTTTTATTTATAACTCATACTGCTGATATCTTTCTTTTTCCATTTTGTTGTCACTTCCTGCTGTTTAATTTTGTCTGATAGGTATGTGTATTTTCATCCATGCTGTGGAATACCTGATAATACCTTATACATTATCTTTATGCTTTCATAATCAGTTTATCATTAACTGTAATAATTGTACATCATATCTCAAAAATGGCATGAGGCAATCAAACACTAGTGAAATATAACAACATACAGTGCTTACTTCATGAACATTGAGATTAACTATAATTGCAGGCTGAATGTTTCATATCCTTACTTCTTCTAGAGGGCATGTGAGTTGATATTTGGTCCCTAAAGGTATTCTCCATGGCCTAAGACTTTTTGCAAGGGAATTCCTCTCCCTTGTTAGACTATAAATCACAAAAACTTTTAAGAAAATATTTGCTGATAAGTCTGTGACTGTGTGGGATGAAGGTTAAATGACTTAATGAAGATGGGGATCAAATTTTAAAATTTGAGAAAGCCAATTAGATCAGTGTTTTCAAACTCACAAAAGTGAGTTACCACCTTCATTTGCCTGGTTTTTTTTTTTTTTTTTTTTTTTGGTGATAGATGGGTTCTTAAATCCTTATAAAACTTTTGAAGTTGTGAATGGGCAAACTTGGCTTCTAATTTTATTTAGAAATTAATCTCCTTCTCTCTACAAAGATTTATACCAGATAAAGGTAGATAACCTCTTTTCTTGATCTGGATTTGGTCCTGTTGTTCCAGTTCCATGTTAATGAATACCAGAGGAACACATCTTGAGATTTTACTTTTGATGTGCTGAAAGTCAAACACATTACATGCTGTATTGGGGTGATAATCCTTACTGTCACTGAACTGTCAGAATTTAAAATGGAAAAAAATGCCACATGCTTTATTACTGTGACATGTCTCAAAATTTCCTAAGTCTACAAAATCCATCTGTCATATGGAACATCTAGCAAGGGCTGTAATAAAAACCAGCCCATGAAACTACTCTAGAATACTGTATAAAGTACCATGAAAATGGTATGTTTATACCTTTTTTTCAGGCTGATTTTGTCACATTAAATAGAAATGCATGTGTCTTAACATGCATTTGCCATAAAAAAGGTCTTCAGCTGTGGTAGGATCTCATTTAGATTAGCCATGTACAATTATACCTTACTGAGAGGCACTGAGAAGACACTCATTTGTAAGACACCTGCTTAATAACATTTAAGATCACACATAACAATATACTAACATTAGTCACAGCTGAATGCTTTTTAATGTTTTCATAGGTAAATGTTTTGTTCCCAATTAATAAATCAGCCTTTATGGTAATTTACTTCACCTGTATCAACCAGAGTGTTTTCTAAACCACTGTGGTGAGTTTACACTCCCCCTGCTACCTCCTCAGGCTGCTCTATGATCTCAGGGACTTCCACTAGGCCCTGGCTTTTGGGCAATGAGTTGAGTGGTGAAGTGTACCTTGACCATGCCAGAAATTCTTGCATGCCTAAGGTGGGGGTGGCACCCTCTGTACCAGAGACTTCTGCTGCCTCCCCAAGCTTGGACTGCAGCCAGGATAGAAACTCACTATTGACTAAAGCCAAGCATTCTGTGACTCTAAGCAGATGTTCTAAGAGATGCCCTCTGAGCTCTTCTGGACTGCAGTGGATGCACCTCTCTCTTAGAGGGACACCTCTCAGAGCTTTGTGATACTTGCTGGACCACCACTGAAAATTCACGGTAGGACCCACACTGACACCCCAACTCCCTCCTCAAGGTTCAATTCTCACCCAAATAGAAATGATAAGGTATTAACATTAATATTTCATTGGATTTAAGGGTAATTTATAACAGGTATATATTTGTAAATTTATTTAGACAGAGACATTGTAGATGTTTGTGTGTGAAGTGATTGAAGCACACTATAGCAAGTATAGCATGAATATTGCCATCTTGGATCTACAATAAGTCATGCATTCTCTTCTGCACCCTTGCACTTTTCTAAACTGTTTCTAATATGATTTTCATTTGTGTGCTTCATCTTTGTAGTAAGTAACAGAGTAAACCTTTCCTTAGCACTTTGTGAAGTTGTACAAATTTATATTAAACCTGTTTTTGCTAATATATTTAACAATGATTTTTGAGTCATTCTAACCACTCATTTGTGATAACCAAAGTTTGAATGACCAGTTATTTCTAATGGCAGGGTATCTGTACTACTGACTTCTGCAGTTTTGCATATTTTACATAAGATCCATAAGCAACAGCAATTAGCTATTCTTTACATCATCAAGGCAAATTGATAGCAAAGTAGTAATTAATGCAATTGTTTATATCTGAAATTGAAATATTCTACATAATCTTTTCCCCTGACATTGTAATTCTGACAACTGTATTGTCTTCTCCACCAGCCTGCTAACACAATATGGTCCCTCCTAAAGCTGGAAGTGCTTAAACTTTATTGGAAATCTTAGGTTTCTATGCAAATAGCTATGTGTAATTGAAGGAGTGCTTCAGGATTTAGTAACCTTCATTACCTGTAGCTCATAAATCTGCCTTTCAAGCACGTTTCTCACTCCTGATAGAGCTCAGCTGTGTAAAATTGTTAATGGCATTATGCTCTGGATAACCACAAAACCTATTTAAGCAGATAAATTAAACCCAGATGAAATCATAGTAATTGTTATCTTGCTGAAAAAAAATAAGTATCTTATTATAAACAGAGTAAATAAATCCCAGACCTGTTAATGGTTGCACTCTCTCTGGGTGGAGAGAGGAACTGATGGTTTGCAAATGCACCAGAAGCTTAAAAATAAAGACATTCAAATGCAGAATACAGGGGTGTAATGGCAGGAAGGAGATTGCAATACTCTGAAGATAGGGCAAAGCTCCAATAAATCTGTGTTCAAGAGGATTAGACCTGAAAGGCCCTTGGCATGAGCAGTTTGTGGCAATGGCAGAATATCATGAGGCTCTGTAAATGTTTAAATGGAGGATTAATCCTACACTTGAAGCAGAACTATTTATATCTCAAAGTAGGATGTGTTTCTTCCAGGCTTTCCATTCATAAAATACATTTTAAGTTCAGGTGTTGGGGCTAATTTATTTTGTTTGTACAGTGTCTCTTATTCCACTGTCCTTACATTCTTTAGAATAATTTGGCTACAAATGCTAAAAATGGGATTATGCAAAGAAGACAAGCAGTTAGGTGGAGATAATTCATTATGCTACTTAATTTCACTCATGTCAGTACTCAGACATTCTGAGATGAAGTCTGAACTGCCAACAGGCAAGATAAATAGTATTTGCATAAAAGCAAAATCAACTGATTTAATTTTTTGAAATTGTGGCTTGGGTTTCAAGTTACTTGATCCACTGCTTAGCTTTTTCTTTGATGCCTTATTCTCTGAGTATCATATTCTTACTGTATAGTCAAGTTATTTTTTGCTAAATATAAAATTAAATTTTAAAAAAACCCCACTGATGTCCAGTATTTGCAAAACTGACTTCCTTAAGTAATACTGTCAGAGATTTCCCTGCAGAGCAGCAGGTTTTGTAGGGACAAATATTAAAACTCAGTATTTTGAGTTAAATCATCAATAAGCACTTAAAGTAAGTTCAGAATGAATACAGGAAGTAGATTTATGGTTCAGTACTTAGATAATTTTCTCAATATGCTGTCAAAAAGCTGATCCTCAATTCTTGGACAAGAAATAGACACAATATTTAAGACAGCAATAATAATTAAATGTGAATATAAGAGCTAAACAATGCAAATTCTATTGTGAAATGTTTCCTTCATTTGCAGGTCAGGTATCAAATTTTAATATGTTTGTTCTTTTTCTGTCAGTCAACAGAGCATAAATTATAAATGTACATGAGGATATGAAATGGGATGGACTAATTTTTTTTCCTTAAAAGCTAAATGAAATCTTCAAATCAAATAAAGAACCATGATTTTTTTAACCACTGCAGGTGCTAGGGCTCTAATACATGCTGGAAGTAGACTTTCATATTCCAGGTAAAAAATTGCTATTATTAAATCAGTGTTAATTTAACTTCACTGGTATCAGGGAACTTAGTCCCCATGGAACATCAGAACCCAGATCAGTATCCCTGGTTTAACTGGTGTAATTTTTCTGAAACTGGAAGAACCTTGATGTTTGATTGGGGATGTCTTGTAAGGAGAGTTAATGAAGGAATAGAGGAAGGCAGAAAAAAAATTACATTTAATCTGCAATTATTTCTCTGTCCAGGCCATGTACGAGGCAGTTATCATACCTGCTGACACCATCAATTTCCAAGCACAGCCCGAGTGCTTGACCCTGGGAGAAATGTCATCTCAGCACCTGCAAACATGCCCAACTTCCACTGCCTGGAGCAGCCTGCTTGTAGGGTGTACATTGAGCATCAGCATTATTAGTTTGGTATTGGGTATTTTATATAATGTTTTGTGCACATTTGGGAAATATGTATTCAACAGCCTGTGTGTCGCTTGTCTGGTCAAATCCATTAAAATCTATTAAATTATATTAAAAAAAAGGAGTTATGAGTATTAATAAAATTGGCAAGGGCCAAAAGGTGAATAAATAATAATGCTTTCACAGATCTCATTGGGAGCTGAGAGAAAATTTGCAATATTGGATCT